TTTAGTTTGTTTTCAAAGATCGCTTAATTTGTTCTTAAATGTCCCTAAGTTTGTTGTTAAATATCGCTTTCGCTGAGTATGACCGAAAACCTGAGTCACTTTCGGCCGGATGGCCGAAAGTCTAAGTCATTTTCGGCCGAAACCGAAGAAAAACCGAAAGTTAACTTTTCTCTTTCGGCCGAAACCGAAATTAAGCCGAAAGTTAACTTTTCAGTTTCGGCCGAAACCGAAACTTGGCCGAAAGTGATAAAATGGCCACTTTCGGCGCCGAAACCGAAGCCGAAGCCGAAACTCGGTCGGTCTCTATTCTCAACCTTCCTAATGCCGCGACCCATTAATAAAGTTCCTCAAGTTGTGGCGACCCCCAGCCACAAAATTATATTGGTTGCCACATTAAAACTGTAAAGTACGTGTGTTTTCCGCTGGTCTTAGGCGACCCCTAGGAAAAGATCGTTCGACCCCCAGGCTGGTAACCTCTGTGGTAGGATGACTCAATCATGAACTGGAAAAAAACGGGACACTTTCAAGGACGGTTTTGGGGAGGGGGGGGGAATACAAATACTAAGAACATTATTGCAAACTGTGCACTCGGCTTCACTGTCATAGCGTCCATTTTTAATATAGTTCCACTCTTTGGAATACTCCTTAATAAACTTACATTGACGCTTGGGTATACTACTTATTATCAACATGAGAAGATAACATAAAAAGTAAAGAATAAAGTTCAACAACCAAAACAAACACCTGTCACTCTGACAAGAACAGGCCGGTAGAGACCGACCGAAAGTGATTTTCTGATTTCGGCCGAAGCCGAAAATAGGCCGAAAGTTTAAAATGACTTTCGGCCGAAACCGAAAAAAGGCCGAATGTTTAAAAATGACTTTCGGCCGAAACCGAAAAAAGACCGAAAGTTAAAAATGAATTTCGGCCGAAACCGAAGCCGAAACCGAAAATGAAATATTAAGATATTTTGAAATTCGTTCCCGCATACATTCTGCTTACATCGAAAATGATGTGGGAAAATATAAATATTTACATTCTTTTTATAAAAATGAGATAATCGTAAATATTAATAAATAAAAATCTAATTTAGGGTTCTCAAACTCGCGGCCAGCGAGCCATTTGTGACCCGCAAGACGATATTTTGCGGCCCGCTACATGACAGAAAAGTTTAGTGTAAATGCGCCGGCCCGTTTCCCCCATTCTCATATATATAACGTGACTCTCCGCGACGGTTTCAGTCGAATCTCACCGACTAATCTAATTCTGATTTTTTTTTTTTAATGTCTCTATATATTTTTGTATGCCAGCTCTCTGGCAACAGTGAGTAGGTGGATGAAAGTGAATCCTAGTTCTTGAGAACCCTTAATGATTTTTTTGTTATTTTTAAAGGTTGACCAGATTGTAACAGTTGTAATCGCTTTTTTGTGGATTACTTGATGCGGCCCACTCTCATACAGACACTACCTCCTGTGCCACCCCCTCCCCCCATAATTTGAGTTTGATACCCTTGATCTAATGAATACTTTGGATTTTACCATTTTAATATAAAACTAATTTAAATTGCTTTACAACTTTTTTTAAAATTAGTATGGTAGGAGAAAATTTGGCAGAAATTTGGGGGTGGGGGGGGGGGAATTAATGCAAAATATTATTTTTTTGAAACCGGGTCTCTAAAAAATGTGGTTCTAAAAGATCGCTTAGTTTGTTCTTAAAGATCGCTTAGTTTGTTGTCAAAAATCGGTGAGTTTGTGCATAAAGATCGCTTAGGTTGTTCTAAAATATCGCTTAGTTTAATCTTAAAGATCACTTAATTTGTTCTTAAAGAAAGCTTAGTTTGTTGTTAAAGATCGTTTAGTTTGTTGTTAAAGATCGTTTAGTTTGTTGTTAAAGATCGTTTAGTTTGTTGTTAAAGATCGTTTAGTTTGTTGTTAAAGATCGTTTAGTT